GTTGGAATGGATGGTCTTTGGGGGTCTCTTCCAACTCTATGATTCTAGGATTCTGTGGCTTTGGCATTCCTTCCATCTTCCCAGATGTGCACCATGCCAAAGCCACCTTGTACTGGGAGATGAAACCAACCCGCCTCCCGTTACTCCACTGTGTCCAACTCATACCACTTACCTGGCTACATTAAAGTTAACTTTCTCTTAAAGAGACTTAATTAGGGTTCTCTCGACAAACATAAATTAATCCTCAGGCCACAGCGGAGGAGAGGAGAGCTCCCTCCTCAATCAATAGCCCATCCAGCCTCCGAGTGAGCTGTTACAGAAATCCCAAGTCTCTTTCATCTTCATCCATAATGTCAGGAAAGCCAGCAGATCGAATGAATTAAGTTTCTGGTCCTTAAGAAAGCGTTCCATCACCAGCGTTATCATCAGAACAGGGGGAAAAGGCAAGCTAAGACACCAGGAAAACCTGATTGTGTATTAGATGTTCAAACAGGCCATCATCTTCTCTTCCAAGAATGTCTACCAAATGTCTCAATGGGATGCTCATAAGCAAGGTGTGCACTTGGAATATCAGATGCTGTTTTCCACCAATTTAGATCCTTGGACTATCTAGTCCAGTATTGCTAACTGAGTGGTGGCAATAGCTGTCTAGGGTCTTAGCTCAAGAGTATTTCCTATGCAGAAACCCCTGACCTTCTCTGGTGGTCTCCCATCCGAGTAATAGTAATACAGGAACATGAGGACCTGTCTTACACTGAATGAGACCCTTGAGGTCTCTCCCTTGCAGCAGAAGCTCATCCATGTTTCATGGAGGGATTCATTCTTAGCCTTCCTCTCGTCTTTGTTCCTGGGGTCTCCCATCCAAAGACTACCCATAACATGGACATATCATGACATGACAGGGGTCATTGAAAAATACAATAATGCTTGGCAAGGAACGATGCAGCAAGAAAAGGAGACTATATTATAAGTGGATGGAGTCCATCAAGGAAGCCATGGCTGCAAGACCTGAGCTGGGTTGTGGATTTCCATGGCTCCTGGAAGTCTCTCTTCCCCAAGATCATCATAACTCACAGCTGTCTTGACAGCACATAATAGCCCAATGCTGTTTCAAAACCTGAAATGGTAACAAGATCATTTAAACAGGCGAAAAGCCTATTAAACCCTTCTGTGGGTTAGCTTTGAAACCATTTAAAATCCCATCTACATATCCAGATGCAATGGTTAGCCCCAAAGGTTCTATTTTTAAAATAATAGTGAATGAAACTGGGGCTTCCAATTTACCATTGTGCCTTCACCACAATGGGTCTGGGATGCTTCTTGGGCCAGATCTG